GGCGACAGCCTGACGTTCGGTACTGCAGGAGATTTTTCCACACGTTTTCTATTTTTTAATAAAATTATATCGTAAAATTCGTACGAAGGGTAAAATCGTAATTTCATTTAAAACACTTCTTTTATTACAAATAAAATTCATAAAACTTAATTATCAATCCTAATCCCATTAGGATTCAAAAGAACCTTATAGAAGATTCTAGAGGACTATAATTAATTCTAATTGCATTAGGAATGATAATTCATAATAGGCCCTCCTCTAGATCATTGGGCCGCATATAAAGATCAAACCAGACCCAGTTTAGTAGTTTAGCCATAACTTCTTCATTATTCGTTGGAATTGGGCTTATAATATATCGTTGGAAAGCTCTTTTCGAGCTCTATCCAACTACACTATTATTGGACCCTTGTTATGGGCAAAACTAAACTTGATTGGCTACTTTCATAAAATAGAATAGGTTTTCAAAAACAGAAAGAGAGATTTTTAAGCAAAAAGCAACATTAGACTTTCCACACTTTCAATTCATTCGATTATCATTCGATGTTAAAGGCATTCATCACCGAGTCTGGTTTTTGGGAGACACAAATGGGTGTCTATAACTACTAAGCAATAAAACAGAAATTACTTATCTCTTGATGCGTGAATCAAACTGACAATAGCCCTGTCGTGGAGAACTAATGACCTAAAAGACAATTCCGCGCTACCTCCCGGTGCAGTAGACTAGAAGCGGTCGCCCTCTAGGATAAGCACGGTGTCGGAGTTTATGTGCACTCACAAACCCGACCGAAACTCAGAATACTTGCCTAGAAAACAGAACATAAGATTTCGTGTTTAGATATTTTTAGAGAAGAGAGAAGACTGATTGTTGTTGTGTAATTTGGCTAGGAAAACCACTGAGTATATATAAGCAGAAGGGGGAAAATGGATAGCATAAAACGTGGGAAGAATCTAGCTAAGAAAGTGACCAGATTAATTTAGCCAGTCAAGCAGTGATTAGGGAATTGAATCAGTCAGCTGTAATCAAGGGATTAATGGCTCATTTAATTTCGTAATTCCAACAATCAAAAAGAATATTCTGTTTAAGAAATAAAGGAAATAAAATTTCTCCAAAAAGATAACAAGGACCCACGCCCGCACATCGCATTCCCCAAGACCCCAAGTCCTGAGGCCCGAGCCCAACCCGACCCGGCTTGGCGCTCACGCGGGCGCGTGTGTTTGTTGAGTAGCACATATCTTCCATTCACTCAACTAAGTAGTGCATGCTAAGACACTACAATATAAAAACAAGGCAAAACTTTCTCCAAAACCAATGTGGGACTTTTCCCCTTTCATTCGTTTTTCTCTCTCTCTTGTTTTTCCCCCAAATCTCTTTGGTTTTTCTATCAAGAACTTCCAACAATCCCTCATAGGTTCGAAGATATGAAAAAGAAAGGAAGGAAAAATGAATTCTAGGCAAAACAAAACAATTGCATAAGTGTCAATGTCTCATGACTTGAATTAATACATAGTGGACATCAAGCTATGATCCCTCACCTACCAAGTGACCTTCGTCTTGAACTAAATAGAGAGTTAGGGACCCGTCACTTTGAGCCACACAATTGAACATGTATAATATTCTGAAATTCCGCGAATAAAGGTGACGCATTTTACTAGCCATACGTCCAGCCTGGATGCTCATAGGTTCTCTAGATTATAAGCCCACAAAATACTCATAGGAAGCGGCCACCTTTCCACACCTAAGTAGGTGAACTCCATCAAGTGTGAGCTACAACACACCTCCAAAAATATGGATATGGGTTCATTAAGAGCTGTATGCTCAACCTCCTTTTCATTTGTATCTAAGCACAAACAAACATCTAGAGATGGACAAATAAAATAAAAAAGTGCTTCCGAATTATTACATAATATTCCCCTTTGAAATCATGGTGAGTAGGAGTTCACTATTTCACAATTCATACAACGGGCTTTAGCCCCATCTATTCCGATGTTTCCAAAACTCGTTTTTTCATAGGCCTTTAGTTAACGGAGCCACAATGTTCTTTTCTGACTTAACATAGTCCACTTCAGACAACAAATTTCTGATGGCTTTATGCCTCAGACGGATGTGTCTCTTCTTCCCATTATAGGCATGGTTGTGTGCAACAACAATTGCAGCTTGTGAATCATAATGAAGTGCAACTGAAGGAGCTGGCTTCCCCCATAGTGGAATATCTGCAAGCACGTTCCTCAACCATTCTGCCTCGTGACCTACCAATGCAAGAGCAATAAACTCGGATTCTATAGTAGACATAGCAGTACAAGATTACTTACAAGATTTCCAGGATACGGCTCCACCCCCAAGGGTGAAGACATAACCACTAGTGGAGTTAACTTCATCATTATCGGATACCCAGTTGGCATCACAAAAACCCTCCAAAACTCCAGGAATTTGGAGTAGTGCAAACCCCAATCCGAAGTACCCTTAAGGTACCTAAGCAACCTCCTTAGAGCAATCCAATGATCACTACTTGGGTTATGAGTGTGCCTGCTCAACCTACTAACATAACAAGCAATGTTAGGTCTAGTGTAGTTCATTAGAAACATAACACTACCAATAATTCTAGCCTACTTAGACTGATTAACTGAATCACCATTATTTTTCTTTAGGTGGAAACTTGGGTTATATGGAGTCTTAACTGGATCGACATTAATTGAGTTAAACTTTTTAAGAAGTTTTTCAACATAGTGTGACTGATTAAGACAGATGGCATTTTGAGTCCTTTTGATTTTGTCTCCCAAAATCACATCTTTCTCACCCATGTCTTTCCTTTCAAAATTCAAACTCAAAAACTGTTTTGTCTTATTTACTCGATCCAAGTCAGTCCCAAAAATCAACATATCATCCACGTAAAGACAAATAATTACACAACCATGACTATCATGCTTAAAACAAACACAAGAGTCACCTTCGTTAACATGAAAACCATTATATTACCAGTCATAGTCTTATCAAATTTGTCATGCCATTGCTTTGGAGCTTGCTTAAGCCCATACAATGACTTGACTAACTTACAAACCTTGTTCGCCTTGCCCGGAACAACGAACCCTTCAGGTTGGACCATGTAAATCTCCTCATCCAAGTCACCATTCAAAAATGTAGTTTTGACATCCATTTGATGAACAACAAGATAAAAATGCAAGCAAGAGCAATTAAAGTCCTAATGGTTGCAATTTTAGTAACAGGGAGTAAGTATCAAAATAATCAATGCCAAACTTTTGTGTAAAACCCCTTACCACTATTCTTGCCTTATACTTATCTATGCATCCATCGACCTTCAATTTTTTCCGAAAGATCCATTTACAAGTAATGGGCTTACAACCTCTAGGAAGTTCAACCAATTCCCAATTGTTATTATTGAGAATTGATTGTAATTCACTATCAATTGCTTCTTTCCAAAAAACAGCATCAACTGATCTCTATGCCTCATCGTAGGTCCTTGGATCATCTTCCAAAACAAATATATGCACAAAATCATCATCAATTTAGGAAGATTCAGATAAATGAGAAGAAATAAAATCAGGACCAACACTGTTTTCCTTTCGTGCCCTTTTGCTTCTCCTTGGCTCCAAAACAGAATCATTATTAGTAGTAGGAGCATTAGCAATAGGTAAACTAACAGAAGTAATTCAATATCATTAGAGGGAGATATTTTCCAAGGAAAATTGTTCTCAAAGAACCCAACATCTCTAGCCTCAATGATATGGCCACCTGCATAAGAGTTGTTAGTAACTTTGACAAATAAACGATAAGATGCATTTAGATAAGCATAGCCAATCAAAATAGCATCAACAGTTTTAGGACCAATTTTAACCCTCTTGAAATTAAGTATGCCTACTTTTGCTAGGCACCCCCACACTTTCAAGTATTTCAGGTTTGGTGCTCGACCCTTCCATATTTTGTATGGAGTCTTGTCAAGCTTCTTGTGAGGAACCCTGTTCAAAACATAACATGCAGAAAGAATGGCCTCCTTCCACATGTTATTAGGAAGCCCAGAACTAATAAGCATAGAATTCATCATATTCATTAAAGTTATATTATTCCTTTCAGCTATACCATTTTGTTCGGGTGAATAGGGAGTCGTTGTCTCATGAACAATGCCAAGTTGCTCACAAAATGCCTTAAGAGTGTCACGGTTGTACTCACCACCCTGTCACTCCTAACCCGCTTAATCCTTTTTTCCAATTGGGTTTCTACCACAGCTTTATATTTGAGGAACATTTCCTCAGCTTCGTCCTTAGACCTGAGAAGATAAACCATGCAAAAACGTGAGCAATCATCAACAAAAGTAATGTAATACTTTTTACCCCCTCTACTTTCATGATTATTAAAATCACCCAAGTCACTATGAACAATTTCTAGTACTTCAGTCTGTCTATCTACTAATTTAAATGACTTCTTTGTAAATTTGGCTTCAACACAAATTTGACATTTCGAAAAATCAGTGTTAGAAAAACTTGGAATCAAATTTAAATTTTTAAGCCTTTTGATTGAATCAATATTAACGTGGCCTAATCTAGCATGCCATAAATCAATAGACTCAGCAATATAAGCAGAAGAAGTACTAGCATTCTTATTCATAGTGTCAATTTTAACATCAAGAGTAAAAAGCCCCCCATTACAAAAGCTCTTCCCCACAAATTTCACATTGTGAGTAAGAACCAATCTATTAGAATCAAAAGAGAGCTTCAGTCCAGCTTTCACGAGCATACTGCCAAAAATTAAATTCCTGCGCATTTCTAGAACATGCAAAACATTAGTGAGAGTAAGCAATTTTCCAGAAGTGAGAGTGATTGATAACGATCTTCCCTTTACCTTGGATAGAAGAAGAATATGCGTTGCCCATGAAGACATTTTCACTTTCAACCTTGTCATAGGTAGTTAACATGTCCTTGTTGGCGCAAATGTGTTTAGTAGCTCCAGTGTCAACAATCCACTCAATAGCATTACATGTAAAGTTAGCTTATGAAATAACAGCAACAATAACGTTATAATCCTCAATAAGATTTTCTTGACTTTGCCCATTCTTATTCTTCTTCGTGACCCTGCAATCCTTAGCCTTTTGACCAGTAAAACCACACTCAAAACAGGTACCCTTAAACTTGTACTTCTGAACCTTCCCTTTAGGCTTAAGGGAACTGTTATTGGCTTTGGACTGGTTGTTGTGTTTGGGTTCAACAAGATTGGATTTGGCAGAAGAAGAGGAAGGAAAAATAGAAGGGCCTTTGTCTTTGATACGATTTTCCTCCTCAATTTTGAGGTGTCCTACAAGCTCCTCTAAGGTTAGATTTTTCTTTTTTGTGCATCAATTGGTTACGAAAATCCTTCCAAGAGGGAGGGAGTTTCTCAATTAAAACAATAGCAAGGGTAATACCACAAATAGACAAACCTTCAGCAGCCATATTAATATACACATTCTCATAAGCATGAATCTGATCAATAATAGGCTTATCATCAACAACTTGAAAACTCAACCACTTACTAACACAATAACGTTTAGTACTAGCATCATCAGTCCCATATTTTTTCTCTAAATCATCCCAAATATCCCTAGCATGATAAAAACTCATATAAATATCCAACAAATTATTTGACATGTAATGCAACAACATGCCCTTAGAGGTTCTATCATCTTTAGCAAATTTAACATCATTTTCAGACAAATCATCTCCATCAACAGATTCAACAATATCATCAAGAACATATGCAACATCAATTTTCTCCAAAAAAACACGCATCCTAACAGCCCAACGTTTCAATTCTTTCCATCGAGTAGTTCTAACTTAGACATGTCAGGAATCAGAAATTTGGAAGCCATAATAGTCTTTTAGATTGTTATACTACTAAGAAATAAAACAGAAATTACTTATCTCTTGATGCATGAACCAAACTAACAATAATCGCGTCGTGGAGAGCCACTGACCTAAAAGACAATTCCGCGCTACCAACCGGTGCAGTAGACTAGAAGCGGTCGCCCTCCAGGATAAGCACGGCGCCGGAGTTTATGTGCACTCACAAACCCGACTGGAACTCAGAATACTTGCCTAGAAAACAGAACATAAAATTTCGTGTTTAGATATTTTTAGAGAAGAGAGAAGAATGATTGTTGTTGTGTAATTTGGCTGGGAAAACCATTGAGTATATATAGGCAGAAGGGGGAAAACGGATAGCATAAAACGTGGGAAGAATCTGGCTAAGAAAGTGACCAAATTAATTTAGCTAGTCAAGCAGTAATTAGGGAATTGAATCAGTTAGCTGTAATCAAGGGATTAATGGCTGATTTAATTCCGTAATCCCAACAGTAAAAAAAGAATATTCTATTTAACAAAGAAAGGAAATAAAATTTCTCCAAAAAGATAACAAGGACCCACGCCCGTGCATCGCATTCCCCAAGACCCGAGCCCGACCCAACCCGGTGCGCGAGCGCGTGCGTGTGTGTGTGGAGTAACACATACCACCCACTCACTCAACTAAGTAGTGCTAAGACACTACAATATAAAAACAAGGCAAAACCTTTCTCCCCAACCAATGTGGGACTTTTCCCCTTTCATTTGTTTTTCTCTCTCTCTTGTTTTTTCCCCAAATCTCTTTGTTTTTTCTATCAAGAACTTCCAACTGATCATAATTATAAGAAGTATAAAAGAAAAAAAAAAGAACTTTTTAGATTACTACTAAATTCCTAATATACATTTTCTAAAAGTTTAATCTTTTTATAATTTTAACTAATAAGATAGTGGAAAATATTATGTGCAACTCAAAGACCAAGCTATCACCTATTCTTCATAGTACACAAACCGGAGTGCAAATAGGCACATAGATTCTATATGTTTAGGATGCATATAAGAGGGTTAATTGGTAAATTAATTTAGTTTTTGAGATTTTTTTTTTGGCTACAGTAGTATGTTTAATCTACCATTATACTTATAGTGGAATTTTTAATTTACTACTAGAGTATATACTATTTTAGTATTACTATTTATAGCAATTTAGGTAATAGTGGTGGCAAATATTGTACCACTGGAAAAAAAATAAAATTCACCACTCTTAAATAGCAGCTATGTACCAATACTTAACCCACAAACTGAACCCACCTTGAGGTTGAGAGGTGAAGGTGCTACAACCTCACCAACCTTGATTCTTAAAAATAAAAGTTAAATTAAACTATTTTCATGTACTTTCTTGCTTTTTTATAATGCGGCATATGTATTTTTTGCAATTAGAAGACACCAAAGAGAAGTATTTATATATTCGCTTTATGTTATAATACTTAACTTTTCAATGTTTTAAAGAAGAATAATATAATCCTTTTAATTTTTTTCTTTTTGTTTATTGGTTCCTTTATCCATCTAACCTCTTCGTTCATTATTGAACAACTTATTGCAAATTTGCATACATACATTATACTGTATTATATAATTGAATGAAAATCAATAATATGTAAAAATTAGTAACTGAACTAATTACAACCTTTGTACAAAGGAGGAAGAAATACAGTATTACCAATAATTCTTCTTTTTATTTTTTATTTTTTCTTTATTTTTGTTGGTCACTTGTCAATTAAACAACCGTACCCTTAAACTGGGAATTCTTTTTTTCTTATAAGTAAAGTAAACATTGATCATTGATGTGAGGATAGGAGTTATTAGTAAGTGTTGAAGTTCATCAATTGAACTTTATTCTGGAAGAATTTTCTAGAAAATGTAAGAAGAAAGGAAGAGAGAAAAGCTTGAAGATGAAGAAAGAGAAGTTTTATTATTTTTTGGATAATCTGAAATTACAGCATAATATGTGTATATATGCAAGAGTTAGTTACAAAAACTCTAACAAACTCTAACAAACTTATGCTGAGCTGGAGTTAGCTGACTGTGCTTCTAATTGTGCTGCTGACATTGCTGACTCCGCTTCCTTGTGTTGACTTGGACCATGTATTCCAACACCCCCCCCCTTAAACTTGGCAGGGGTGACTGTCACAGAACAGCCTAAAGACATCAGCTGAGAAAGAGAAAGATGCTTAGTAAAGACATCAGCAAGCTGCATACCAGTGGGAATATATGTGATCTCAATCAAGCCTTCAAGAACTTTATCCCTTGTAAAGTGACAATCCACTTCAATATTCTTAGTTCTCTCATGGAAAACCGCATTTTAAGCTATATGAATAGCTGATTGACTGTCACAGAACAGCCTAACAGGCTTCAAATCTCCTAAACCCAACTCTCCAAGAATCCTAATAAGCCAGGCAACTTCATTGGCAGCATGAGCCATGGCTCTATATTCAGCTTCAGCTGAGCTCTTTGAAGTGGTGCTTTACCTCTTGGATTTCCAAGAAATGGGAGAGTTACCAAGGAGCATGACATAACCAGTCACAGACCTTCTTGAACTAGGACAGGCTGCCCAATCAGAATCACAAAAAGCCTGTAGAGTAAGCTGATCAGTAGCTCTAAGGAGAATTCCCTGACTAATAGTAGAAGCAACATATCTTAATGTGTATTGAAAAGCAAGAACATGTGGAACCCTGGGAGAATGCATGAACTAGCTTAGGGTTTGGATAGCAAAATCAAGATCAGGCCTTGTATTAGTTAGAAAATTTAATTCCCAACATAACACCTATAAAGAGCAGCATTATCATAAAGATCTCCCTGATCAGAAAATAGCTTCATGTGAGAGGGAAAAGGAGTGTTAGCAGGCTTAGAAATGTCCAACTCACAGTCTTACAGAAGTTATTTAGTAAACTTTCTCTAAGACAGAATATAGCCATCTTGACACTTACTAACTTCAATGCCAAGAAAATAACTCAGGTGTCCCAAATCCTTTATGCTGAAAGTATGATGCAAGTGAGCTTTCAGATCAGAAATTAACTGATCATTTGAACCAGTGATGATGATATCATCAACATAAAGTGCAATAAGAGTGGTATCAACACCATCTTTCCTCAGAAACAGAGAATAATCATTTTTTGACTGAGTAAATCCTTGAAACTTCAATTCTTCAACCAATCTGGCAAACCATTGCCTGGAAGCTTGTTTGAGGCCATATAAAGACTTCTTAAGTCTGCAAACATGCCCTGTAGGAGCAGAAACACCCTCTGGAATCTTCATATAGACTTCTTCATAAAGTGTACCATGAAGAAAAGCATTGTTTATGTCTAATTGAAACAAATTCCAACCATTCTGAGTAGTAAGAGATATCAAACATCTAGCTTATAGTTGACATTTTTACAACTAGAGAAAAAGTTTCTTCATAATCAACCCCATATTTTTGAGTAAAACCCTTGGCAACAAGTCTAGCCTTGTATCTTTCAATACTTACATCAGCATTCTTCTTGATTCTATACACCCACTTGTAGTCTATGGCTTTCTTTCCTTTAGGAAGCATAACAATATCCCATATATTGTTTTTGTTAAGAGCAGAAATCTCTTTATCCATAGCATTTACCTAGGAAGAATTCTGAGCTGCTTCATTATAGCTTGTTGGTTCAACAAGAGATTGATGAACACATATATCTAGCTGCTGTTTCTCAGGAAGGGAATAAAAAAAAACCAAGTTACACCAGTGAATGGTGACAGCATAACAATGGTAATCAGAAAAATGATTAGGTGGTTTAGATATTCTGGAAGATTTTCTAACTGGATCAGAATTAGGTGTAACATTTGAGGTTTCAGGTAAAATAGTAGAAAAAATATTGGTTTGAGGAACAGGATTAGGTGAGACAGAAATAGGAGTGGGATCAGAGTTATTATTAAGATCAGAGAAAATTTCAGGAATATCAGAATAAGATTGTGAAATTGGGGTGTTAACAGGTGGGAAAAATTTGTTGGCATAATTTTTGTGAGGTGTGGGAGAAAAATGAAAAGGAAAATGTTTTTCATAGAAAATAATATCCTTGATATATTGTTTGTGGCAAGGTTAAGGACTTTGTAAGATTTTTGATTTGGAGGGTATCCTAGAAACATACATGGTGTTGCTCTAGGATCTAACTTGTTTCTGTGAGTTTTAGAAGTGGAAACATAGAAAAGACAACCAAAAATCTTTAGATGAGACAAGTCAGGAACATAATCATACATTCTTAAATAAGGGGTTACAAAACCAACAGATTTGAGTGGCATCCTATTAATTATATAGGCTGCAGCCAAAATACAATCTCCCTAAAATCTAGCAGGTTCTTTGGACTGAAAAAATAATGCTCTATCAGTCTCCAAGAGATGCTTGTGTTTCCTTTCAACCACCCCATTTTGTTGGGGTGTATCAGTACAAGATTTTTGTTTCAATATACCATACTGAGATAACAACAGTTTCATTTTTCCTTCTGTAAGATCAGGGGCATTATCTGATCTCACAGCCAAGACTTTGGAAGAAAATTGAGTATGTACATAACTAAGAAAATGAGACATTAGAGAAATTGAATCACTTTTATTTTTCATGAAATGAATCCAAGTCATTCTAGAATAGTCATCCACAATTGTAAGAAATTGATTACAACCAGTATGTGTGGCATGAGTGTAGGGACCCCACACATATATATGAATGAGTTAAAAGGATTTACAAGATTTTATTGAGCTAGTAGGAAAAGAAAACCTAGAGTGTTTAGCTAAAGGACAAACTTGACACAAGTTTTCAGCTAAACAACCATGAACATCAGTGCCCTTAATGGACTTTATTTTATCAAAAGACATGTATCCTAAACGAAGGTGCCATAATTTGGCTTCTTCAACTGCTACTAAACTGTGATTCTCAAGATCAA